AAAACCTTGCCACCCAAACCCAACACAGGATGCAACTTTTTGGCTAAGGTTTCTCTCACTTTTTATGGCAGGGGGAGGGGTGAATCCTTTACAAATTAGCTAAATACCTGTGAAATACCTTGCAGCTGAAGTCTGCAAGTCCTCAGATGTACTTGCTGAAGTAATTCCTCACTCATTTTTCACATTATCAATTCTGTGATAATGATGAGAAAAAGTAAAAAGAATGAAATAAGATATTGGCTGGAAAGCACAGCTTGGCTAAAATTGGGAGGGAGTGACTAAGAATAAGGAAGGGAAAAACTGACAAGCAGGTGACAAGAAGATGGGAGTGAGAGATGGAGCCTTGACCTATGACTAAAGGAGGAAAAAAATAAAGGAATGAAAAATGAATTTAAAAGAAAGAAGTAATTACTGAAAAAGGAATCAAATAAAAATCCCTCTTTGTCTCTTCAATAGGCTTAGAAGTATTACGTTCTTTGTAAAATACATTATTAATAGAATAAACCTTGAGATGTTAACATAAGGCTTGGTTTATGTGAGTACTCGTGTAAAAGTTCATGACATTTTTAGAAGGCAAGTACAAAGGCTATTTCAGCACAGCCAATACAAATGCCCTTCTTTTTAAATTAATGACTGTGATACTGTATTTTTCCTCGAAAAAAAAAAATCCAACTTTAATAACTTTTTCTTGAAAGTTACAATTTCTTAAAGAAAAATACTCCTGAAAGAGGAATTCTCAAAATTTTAAATGCATTACTATGGGTATCTTTATTAATAGACTGGAGGCAGGCAGCTCTGGAAATTTTCAGTTTATGAAATGAACAAAAAATAAATACAGCAACTATAACAAAATATGAATAATTCTTGCATCTTGTCCTCAGACTGGAATGGGACACCTGCGTGTTACCAAAGAAGGCCTTCGTCTGGAAGGGGAATCAGAATTCTTATTCCCTCTTTATGCCAAAGAAATCCATTCTCGAGTGGTAAGCAGATAATCTTTCAATAATGCTAAAATAAAATTAAAGCACTTACGAACAGCTGACTTTAGGCAAAGTCCAGGCATTTCTCATGGAGAAATATATATATGTGTGTGTGTATATATACACATATTTTTGCATACTTTACAAGCATGATCATTAGGTCAATGTTCTGATGCTAGAGCAGAATTAAAATTTTTCTCTTAGACATGTGATAAGAAGTAGCTCAAAAAGGAATTATAAAGGTCATTGTATGTAAGTAATGCTAAAATTTTAAGAGTGTGTAGAAAGTTTTTCATTATTTTTACTGAGATTATTTTTTTAATGCAGGCTTCCCTGTGAAACTGCTTGTTTTGTTTATTCATCCATTACAGAATAGTTTCAATATCTCTAAATATAGTGGATCCTATTGGAAAAATCACGATTTCTCTAATAAGTTCAGGTTTTGTCACTTCTAGGACAACAATATTAAATGTATGATATCTTTATATATCTATGTATATGAAATCTACCAGACCAAAGAGAAAGACTTTTGGATTTCATCTTGTTTACATAGACAGAAAATTGTTTTATTGTTATTATTGAGGTAAAAAAGGAATAACATACTTGGTGAAAGAAAATATTTATCAAGGAGATTAACTTTAAAATGGTACTGAGAATTGGCATGGTAGGTTTAGAGGAAGGAAGAGAGAATCTGAATTGGTTTTTAATTATCCAGGTGAACTCTGAAACTTATTCTAGTGAATTTTTTATGGAGTGATATCTGTTTCTGGCCAAGAAAATGAATATTTTTCAGAACTATCGTCTATAATCCAAACTCACAAAATAAAGCCATGTTTTATGAACATTGTCATCAACCAATGGGACATTTCATTGAATAAAGTAGTATTCAGTGAAAGTAAAAGCTGAATATGGCTGGTTCATTACTTCAAACATGTAATCATCCTCACCACGAAGAAATAGCCAGTTAGGAGACTTTTCTGAAACTAGGGAAAAAGTTAGTGTTTGTATTGCTATGGCAAGAGAAAATGTAAATAAATTTATCAGAAAACATGATTGATTGAGGATTTAGGATGAGGTTGTTAAAATGCTTGATTACTGAAATTTAAGTAATGCCAACATATTTCACGTCTAAGCCTTTTTTTTTTTCTCTCTCTTTCTGCAACAAGTATTTCCAGCAGCAGGAGCTCATACTTAGATGGTGAAATTCCATTCCTAATCTATATTTCCATTTTGTTTCTTATGCTGTATTCTTTTCTGCTCATAGGTAGTGGGAAAATTATTTATGTGCTTAAATGAATTTCCCTCGAGGTTGTTCATGCAATAAGACATGTAATGCCCCCCAAAATCATTATGCAATGTTAAGCTACCATTCGTGTTCGTTTAATGTTCCTTCCAGCTCTTAATACGTTTAGTACAATATAGGAATAAAGAGGTGTGGCAGCATCTAATACAAGCTTAGCTGTCTAATGACCCATCGTGATCATTAGTAGCATGCATTAATTGGAGCCTTCAGGCTACTGCATGTCTGTGCCCCCTACAAACTGATAATTCATCAGAGGTTTTTTGTTTGCTTGCTTGCTTTTTAAAATATTTGAACTCTCTAGAGGCTTAATTGCCTGTAGCTTGATCGCCTGAGTGCCATCTATATATTTATTCCCATAAAGTTGCTTATTTGTTATGATTTCTTTTTTCTAAGTTTGTCTGTTAGAGAATTAGGTCACTCACAGCTTTCATAGCAGCTTTCTCGCTTGCCTTAATAGTGTTCTCCTTGCAGTCTCCTAACAGCTTTTCTCACCTAATGAGGTCTCCAAAGTGCTAAGAAAATATGCAGCAGAAAATCTACTTGCTGTGCATCATCTCTGGAGCCTGTTACAAGTTTATGCCTTTGTTATGAGTCCAACACAGAGTTGTGGGCAATACCATTGCATCTTAGCTAATACATATTCATGGAAAGATAAAAGATGACCATTTATAAATATGTTACTAGATTTTAATTAGTCAACAACACACCTATGGAAGCTGCAGATCTAGCATACGGTTTATTCTCAGTTAAATTTGGTATTACAAGTTACTAACTTATTTTTTAAATCAACCACTGGCAGTCAAATAAGTGTAATAGACATGCCCAGATTTGTGGGTCATTTAGTACACGTACTTAAATGTAATATATTTACCTGATCTTTGTTGACCTTCCTTTCCCACTTCATACTAATTTGTTACCATTAATGATCATTCTAACATGCTGCTTACTTTTTTCCTAAGACTTTTCATTATTTGTGTTAATTCTGTTAGCTTTCACATTTTCCTGATTAGTTTACAAAATGTGATTCATTTATTGTGCTCGCTTAGTCACTTTTTTTGACATAGCATATCTTCCTACTTGTAAGATATACTTTTACAAAAAAAAATTGGTAAGTTGGACTCAAAACTGTGTATTGCTTCTACCACTGTTATTAGGTAAGTTTTTGTAGTAAAATTCTTCACATCAAATGTGTTCAAATTCTTAGGTTATCTCATACTCTAAGCATCAAATTACAACAGGAACATGATTTGGGAGTGATTTTTAGGGATTAGCCCTTCAAGGTGCTGCATAGTCTCTGCAAGTCCAGAAAAAGTACCAGAAGCCATATATGTGAGAGAGACTGATCTTTAACAATATTCCAGTACTCAGAAACTCACTTATTTATCTAGGAATGTGTATCCCCTTTGAGTTCACAAGCAGGCAGCTTGCTAATACCCTCTTCATGTCACGTATTCCTTGCTACTTCGGCAACTGAGATGTACTTAGGCACTCTTGTCAGTTACTAGGTTCCTGTCCTTTAGATATAAGGTGTGCTTTAGTATGAAAGAACCTGTACTGCAAAAATTTTTTACCCTCTTTTAATAAGTCTACCAGTGTGGCTACGATTTGCTGACGGAAATGAATATGATTAGACTTCTTGTCCCCAGATAATTTTCTGATACTTAAGATCAGGTAAAAACGATGGCCTGTATGATCTCCCTGAAAATCAGCTGCATTTAAAGACAATTCAGGTGGTAAATCAAAGAAAACCATAAGAAGAACCCACTCAATTCCCTCCTCACAAAGTTTTAGGATGCTTCCAAATGATCCCTACCAGTTCTCTTGTCATAAGCCTGTTTCATTACTCTCCATATATCTAGTCTGATGGAGCACAATGGGCAGCTAGGTCTTTCAAAACAGTTACTCATCTGATCTTCACAAGAAGCACTGGGTGGGGAGGTACCAATGGGCCTGAAGTACAGAGAGTTTGAGTGGAAGCTCTGGGAATAAGTAATGGAAATGGTACATCACCTGGAAGGAGTTCAACAAACACAACACCAAGCTCTGAGTTAACACAAGGGGATGTTTTGGTTTTGGTGAAGTTATTCCATGCTGGCTGCAGTCTAAGAATGACATGAATTTTTGAATTGCCTACCATAGCTGGCCTGGATTGTGGTGAGGTGTGGTAGGGATGAACGAAGATACCAATTGCACATGCTAAGCATGCCCTGGCTTCCATAAGTGACACAGAATGATGGGTAGGCACGAAGCTCTGACTGCTCTGCAAATGTCCCACCTATGATGCAATCTGTGACAATACCTTAATGCCTGGTGTATTTGGCTACTTACCCTGCCTCAATAGACCATCTCACATACTTATTATCAGACAGATGCAAGATTAGAAGTCGAGGCCAGTGGTATGGGAGGAAAGGTAGAGCTGGAAAAGAGGTTGAGAAGTGAGATATGAGAAGCATTGACAGGGACTTAAATAAATGGCATGGGGTGGGTGTCCTTTCAAGGGCAGTATGCTTTTCTGCAGCCCCTCTTCTTGGATCCTTTCTTTGGGTGAGCTACAGCCTTCCCTGGGCCAAATCTTCTCTTGCCTCCTGCTCCTTCCAGTACTCCTCACACTCACTGGAACTCTCCTGGGCCCAGGCAGAGAAGTGAAAGTGGAAGAGGTTCGAGGTGTCCGTGGTCAGCTTTTTATGTGGCTAAGTTTATTTTCCGGTGATTTCAGGCTTAGAGAAGGCATTGAAAGTTGTTGCATGATTTGCTGGCTTTCCTACAACAAACTCAGAATTAGCCTGTTGTAGCAGGGGCATGTGTCACCAGGGGTTTGGCAGTTGTCTCTCAACTACATACCTCATTCGACTCAGCACAGAATGGTCAAATCAACGTCCTGTTCATCATATTCTCTTCCATGCATGTGTGTAGTTTTGCAGTTTGGTTTAGGTTTTAACATAAAATTACATGCTTACCAGGTCCTATTGTACCCTATGACTTTCTGTTTTTCCTTAAATAATTTTCTAGCCACAAAGTTTTGGAACTGAGTATGATTCCCTTAAACTTTCATGAGAACATGTGGGTTTTTAATTGTTTACAATTCTAATTATTCTGCTGAATCTTTTTTTTTTTTTCCTCCATACTTCAGGATTCATCACTGCTTCTCCAGTCTACTCACAATGTGACTGTGAATGCTCGCAATTCACATGGGGAAGTCACAGGCAGATTAAATGTGGGTAAGTCTAAGTGATTTTTCCTTGTTCACTGTTTTGGAAACATTTTAATGAATATTTGCAAGGAGTTTGGAGGATATAAAGCACTAAATACATGATTATTTTTTACTGTTATGACCATATTTGAATAGTCCAGCTCCCACTCAATAAGTACCAACAGTATATTTTCAATTTGTCAGTTAATAATATTTGAAGTACTTTTTTATTGCAGAGTTATGCAGGAAAGGTCACTGCAGAAGTTACTCTTTTTCTTGTGTAAATATCTATTGATAGTTGCAAATCATTTTCTAAGAAAACGCAACAGGAGAACATGGCTAGAGAGGTCTGTATGACCCTCTTCTTTTCCTAGTATTCCAGAGACTAATACATTTAAGCAGATGTCCTAAAAAACCTGCCAGTTCACAACTTAAAAATGTACGTATTTTACTATATTTGGTAGCAGTAAGATATATTAGTTTACTGAGTAAAATCAATAGATTTAGACAGATGTAGGTGATAGATCTTGGCAGCAAGAATAAGCAGACCTTACTCTTTAAATCATATTTTTAAGGCAAGAATGGTAACAATATATGTCAGATGCAACAGAATTTTTCTTAGATTTGTTAATATTTTTCAACCTTTACTCGACTTTGAAGAAAAAAGGTAACAACTTATTAAATCAGAGAATCATAGAATGGTTTGGGTTGGAAGGGACCTTAAAGATCATCTAGTTCCAACCCCCCTGCCATGGGCAGGGACACCC